CCATATATTTTATCCATGATTCTTTTTTATTTTTGTTGTTGGTTTATTGTATTTTATCATGCTCTGCATACTGCCTTGGGGGGGAAAAACCAAATTATTTTGAAAGGTGGAATATCAGTGATTTGAGTAAACTAATGAATAAATAGTTTGCCTTCAGTAGTGGGCCAGTGGCTTAAATGTAAAGTCACATCATAAATAAATGTCGCCCCCCCCTGCCCCTGTCTGTTCAATGTTGGGAGAGGAACAGTGTCTAAAACTTAAGCTTCCTGTCATGGTGAACAAGTCAGATGAAGATCAGGCAGCTGTCACATAAGCCGGCAGGGGCCAGAGGCTCACATGCAGAGCAGTCATGAGCTTAGGTGCTGAGAGTAAACAAGACATCAATGGATAAAGATCCTGCTAGATAGAATGCAATACTATACCCTGTTCTCTGCCTGTCTTGATCAAAGGCCCTCAGCCGCTTTTTCCTATAGGTGCTGGCCTTCACCTTCTTCTCCTGCCTCCTCCCTCCTGCTGCAGCCCATTGAGCTTCCCAATATGCTGCTCCTGGGGGACAGGAAGTGCTCGGGAGCAGCATGAAAGGCAAATGGGGACTCTGCAGCCGGAAGGGGGAACTGGTGGTTTTGATTGATTTGATTTATAGCCCGCCCTCCCCTGCAAGCAGGCTCAGGGCAGGTAACAAGCCAATGTTCCCTCTAAGCTGTGAAGCCTTCTGAGCAAAAATTCTACTTTGTGAGCTACTGCCATTAAAGTTGTGAGCGAGCGACTTGGCTCCTGCATAAATTAGTTTGCTCTGGAGCCATCCTTCCTGAGCAAAGACAAAAAGGTGTGAGCCGGAGGTTAAAAATCTGTGAGCTAGCTCACACTAACTCAGCTTAGAGGGAACACTGGTAACAACCTTCATCTCTGAAGTTTCAGTTTCTGTCATGCTGGCTCCTCTAGAAAGCTCTGAGCTTCCTGGACACCTCCGCCGGCTTTTTACTTGGCTTGGCTACCTCAGTTCTTAGCCTTCCAGCCCTGTTCCTACTGTTGCCAGAGATCCCATTCATTGGTCCCCTAACCCAGTAGGATTTGATATTCATGTGTTTTCTTGCAGAGGTGAAACCTGCTGGTGTCAGTCATGCTGTAACAAGCCCATCTCGTGGGCAGAGTGAGGTGAGCTTGACCACAGATGTGATATAACTGTTGCTAGAATGGTTTTAATTCATACTGCAGCTGAGGGATCGTTAGAGTGAATGTTTTTTTAATAGTTTAAAAAAAGACACCCAACTCTGCCTATGCACTGAAAACTAGACTCAAGAGAAAACAGTTCTGGCTTGTCTTCTCCCTGATTATTCTGCATGTGCAGAGAATTTGTTTTCCAGCCTTGAAATCTCTATACCTGCAATATGATGTTGCAAAATTTAGGAAAACTTTTGCCACCTCATTTATGGGTTGTTTTATTGTCATGGTCATGGAGAAGGCTTCAGAGATCCTGTCACAGGGTTGTTCATCTACCGACTGTATCCCTAACCCTAACCCTCTCCCGTTGTGGTTCCAGGATGATAGTTCTGTAGAGACAGAATCTGAGGCAGAGTCACTCTCAGAGATGCACTGTTCCTTCACCAGACTCACTAGGAGTAACCAGAATCGATGCACATACGACCTGGAAGGTAGGTAATCACTGCCATTACTCAACATTTCTTTCCCTGGCAAAAGAGGTCAATGAATGCTGATTATTGGCCAGGAAGTAATCAGCTGGGAGGATGGGGAAGTGGGTTTGTGGAAGTGGAGAGAATTAGCGTGTGCAGAACCACCTGCATAAGTTATTATTTATTATCCCCTATCAATGTAGGCAAATATGATATTATGATATTTAGTACAACTGGGCATGATCCAGACAAGGTATGCATTTCTGAGTTCCTCAGTTTCAAAGGAAGAAAGCAGAACCTGTGCATTTTGACCTTCTAGCACTGGAGTGCACATCTGCTTGGTCATTTTGTTTTTTTAATGCACAAATAACTGTTTGGCTATCTCCACAGAGTAGGCCTATCCTTGCCCCTCCTCATAAGAAATGGATACAACTCTTAGCGCCATTCATTCAGGACTTGTGGGACTATCCTGCGAAGGCAAAAATTAGATTGATGCAGTTTGATTTGCTGCCAAGATGAGCCATCCGTTTTAGCAGACTCTAGGTGCATAATGTATACCAAAGAATCTATGTGTGCCAGTATAAATTCCCGCTGAGTTCAGTCAAACTAATTTTAGCCACTGAATGCAGGAGTTTGAACTAATGTGAATAGATCTCAGACCTTCACAAATAAGTACGTGAAGCTAGGCTATAGTAAAAGCAAGAAAATGTCTAGTCAGTAACCTATGTAAGGTATGTTTATTTTACTACTGCCATTTGACTTTATTTAGTGATAACTGAACATAAAAGTGGCACGGTCCCTATCCAGAGTAGAATTAACAGGATAAGAAAAGGGTGCCTAGGGCTGGGCTGGGCATGTCAGGAGGCCATGGAGGCAAGAAAAGAAGGTGGCAGCTTTTCTGAGAAGAGGGCATCTCCAGCAGTGTCGGGGGCCTTCCTCATTCACATGATCCAGCTTGGAAATGTGCACAGAATTCAGGATCGTGAGAATCTTAGCTTCCCTTTGAAAAGTCTTCAGCCCTTCAAGTACAGAGAGGCTTGAAAATACATGGGCAAGGCCTGATGTAATCTCAGAAGTGGGAAGGGAGGCTGAGCAAGGTTTCCAGTTCTCACAGGGCTGAAATTCAGTGCCCCGCATAACTACTTGTCCCTCCTCATCATGAGCAAACTCTATAGTAGATATTAGCAGACTGTGGGAAATCTGCTTAATTGATTTAGGCCACAGAATGTAGCTATGCTTTTTCATTACTTTAGCACTGATAACAGCCAACCCTGGTGATATTAAACACCGATGTAGCACAAGTCAAGGGTTCTGTGTTTCACATTAACTCAGCAGTCCTTACAACACCCCTGTGAAGCATGGCACTATGTTCATCCTCGTATTACAGATGGGGAGTAGTAGCTGAGGCTGACAAACCAATGGCTTGCTATAGCAAGCAAGTTCCAGTGCAACCCTAAGGACATTTTCCATTGCATCGACCTGAACAGAATGTTAAGTAGACCTGCTTAGGATTGCTCTCTTTCATGGTTCAGATGAGGTTTGATCTGGGGAGCCATAATACTCACACTGATAGGAAACTGATATAAATCTGTTGTGTAAGTGTGTCACAAGGGTAGGGCAGTAGTAAGATCAGAATGTCAATGTTGATCTGGAGAGCGACAGTCCCAAGCTCGACCTACCATGAATGATTTCTTGTCCTCAGGGTTAGTGGAGCTTCTGAACCGGGTACAGAGCTGCAGAGTCAATGACCAGCGTGGGATCCTGTCCAAAGAGGATCTCGTACTACCTGACTTCCTTCAGTTGCCTGAACAAGATGGTGTCTCTTATGAGATCCCATCCTCTTCCAAACCTGACCTAGAGAAGAAGTGCACACCAGAGGCCCCTGTCATTATCTCCCATTGTCAGTCCCAGGAGCAGTCTGAGACTCAAGCTTCCACTTCAAAGCAGAACACAGGATGTCTGTCGTCACCTGGTGCTGCTGGGAAAACATCAGCCATGTGATATCCTCCATGATGAGTCCCATCCCCCCACCCCCGACCAGCCAAGACGTTTAGTCGGTCTTATGTTCCTAGCCATACAGCCACATCCTTCCTGTCTAATATCTGGTGCAGTGTCATGCCCTGCCACCTTGGTATTGGGCTATGATTGTTTCCAAGGGCCCACACCTGGCATTAGAGATCCCTAGCCTGTCTTCCGAGAGTGGAAGTGTGTACTGTTAATGTTCTGGCTGAGTCTCACCCCTTGGAACTGCCCATGCTGGCAGGGCAGGGAAACACCAGTGTTGCTCACTTCCTGTACCAGACTGTTGTAAGGTGTTGCTCTGTGTTGTAAAACAACTGCTGCCCGTGGCCGCTCAAGCAGCAACTGCACCCCTGTGGCTCGTGGTGATGGTGCCTGTATATAGTTTGTATTTTTTGGTCTCTTTGTAAAGCATTTTGGATTGTAAGATATACTGCAAATGAAGTCCTGAGTCTCTGTGACTTTTTTCACATACATTTCCAGGCGGCTACAGAGGTCAGTGGTGAACATGCAAGCCCTCCAGGCAGACATGTTTCTCTCTGTGCACGATGTGAACTGCAGGATCTATGGGACCAAAACAGTTTGGGTTCTACACCCCCCATCCCAAGCAATATCCCTGGGATCCTTCCACATCTGTCATATATGTTGGGGCAACATCTTGGGTGACTAGCAAAAGACAACTGCAAGGAGGGGAAGGGGAACCATACCTTTTCTCCTTTAATTTCCAGGATCCCAGTGCATTTGCAGCTCCTTAATAGGTGCTTCCATCAAGTTTGATGAGACCCATGAGTGTGGGTATGCAGGCACGTAGGTGCCCCAGCTGTATGCAAAGATCACCCTTGCTGGGTGGATGTCTCTGGAAATCTCTAATATACAGCTCTGCGCTGTACGCCTTCTCTTCCGCCACCAAAGAGAATTATTATATTTATTTAAATATTTTTACCCCACGTGTCCTCTTTGCTCAAGAAGTCAGCCTATAGGCACACAATTTCTGTAACAAAAAGGGACTATTTTGAATACCTGAGATGTAGCCCAGAGGCTCTATGATTGTAGGTTGCTGCAGCCACGGGGGTGGGACACACAGTTAAGTCCTTAAAACCTCCCCGTGGCGATGGTAACCCCCATACACCTTTAGGCCTGGTCTGCTCTACTTGTCTGAATGCGTTGGTCCAGACCAGCGGTAGCGATAGCGTCAGAGACGACAGCCACCCCCTTGCCCCATTCATTCAGAGGCACTGAGCTCTCTGCAGATCCGCTGCCTCGCATGCAAAATACGGCAGAGGCAGCAGCTGCTTCCCTATTGGCTGCCCCCGACCGCATGTGCCGGCCCCCCACTATCTGAATGAGAGTGGGGAGGGGAGAAGCCAGTGTAGGCTGCAAGTCTGGACGGTAGGAGCCGCCGGTAGCCCCAGCGACAGACAGTCAGGTAAGCGCGGGAGAAGCTGGCTCTTGTCGGGGAAAGCCTGCCGCTGGGCTATGGCTGATGGAAAAGGGGAGGGTCACTCGAGGGTCTCTCTCTTGTTAGCCCTTCTGGGGAGAGCCTTGCATTGGTAGAGGGCGCTGTGCTTGTAGGGAGCAAAAGCAGAGGGCGCTCCTACCATCTTCACGGGCAGGGCTGTCCCCGTTTCCTCTGTATAGCGCTAGGGGATGCTGTGGCACAGAGATCCTTAAGAAGGTGTGTGTGTATGTGGGGTGTGTGTGTGTCTCAAGTCTCCCCTTGGGAGTCTGGAGTTAGACTTTTATTTCAGTGCCTTACCTTTGAGCTCCCTTTTCTAGTGTATAGTTGTTTTGAATTCTACTCACTGTTGTAGCATGATGTTTCGAAGCACTGCTCCTGCCTAGGGGGGGGGGGGTCATAAACCTGGGGCCCTACTGATTGAATTGGATAGACTTTGATGGGTACTAGGGATGACCTTAATTAATGTCTTGATAGGTTCTCTCTTCAGATTGATGTTCTACTTTATACGCTATCCTGACTACTTGGGCTTACATTCTCAGGAGTTGTGATATGGATCTTGTGTTCTGACTCTGAGAAATCTGCACTCAAAGGAGGACTCCTATAGGTACATCCCAGAGCCATAAGAAATAAAATAAAAGGGACGGGAGAGTGGGATAGCCTCTGCATTTGCCCAGTTTGTGCCAAGCAGGAAATTTAGCAAACCTGTCAGGTAGAGTTTCCAGGTCCCCTCTGGCCACCAGTGGGAGATGGGGGGGGGTAGGGGCTGGGAAACTCCTGGAGATTTGGGAGTGGAGCCTGGGGAGGAGTATAGGGACATCGGTGGGGTACAGTGCCCTAGATGCCACCCTCCAAAACATCCATGTTCTCCAGGGGAATTGTTCTCTGTAGTCTGGAGTTGAGCTGTAATTCTGGGGGATCCCCAGGGCCCACCTGGAGGCTGGCACCCCTAGCCAAGGGGCCATCTGGGTAGGAGAGAGTGCATGCACACAGATATATGTCGCACATCAGCATCATGAAGCCAGTCCCCCACCCCACCCCCGTCCACAAACGGACCCGATGCTTTCTGTCTACTGCACTTGGTTTTTAAAGCAGATTCCCACTTTCCTAGGTGTGAGGTATACTTCAGCAAGGGAGTGTCCCTGTCTTGGACTGGATGAGCAAAAGGATCATAAAATGTGAATTTAGCTCCTTCCTCACCTTTGTACACTGCAGAGATGGAAAGGGGGTAAAGGGCTGCTTGTCCATCTACAGAAATGCACTGTCTCTGCTGGTGAGCATTTAGTTAATGCTCAGTTTGGCATCTCAGTGACTTTTCCACTGAGGAAAATGGCTGAGCTGAAAACAGTATTTCCCACAAGGTCAGCTCAGCTTATGGCCATGAGGAAGGTGGGCAAAAGGTAGAATAGAGGGGGATGGCATGCTGCTTTCTTCTTAGTTACAACAAGTAGGGTTCGGTAGCGCCAAAAAGCTTACAATAGGAAGTGGGGATAGAGAGCAACCTTTTTGCAACACTTTCTATGTTTTCTGTGTAGTAGTGAAGAATCACATGGCTTCCTCCCCTTCCTCCTGCAGCTCTAGTACCTGTTTTAGGTTTGGCAATCTGGCATACTTCCCCCCCCCCCTTTTTTGCTGTGCAACCTTTTAGTCCAGCCAAAGCTAAGCACTTTTATTTCCCATAGTTTTCACTGGGAGAGATTTATAGCGCCATCCTAAGCAGAGTTACACCCTTCTAAGTCCACTGGAGTAAATGTGTTTAGAAGGGTGTAACTGCTCTGGATGGCATTGTAAACCATGTTTTTAATTCCACCACTGAAGCCAGTGTGATTTACTTTGGCTGAGTTGTATGCCACACTTGTTTTAAGCTCACCTTTCACCTTTCACGCCGGGCAAGAGGTAGGTTCAAATGTACAGCTAGTGCACTAGGATGATGAGTTTGCCTTGGCTCTGTACCCAGGGTTTTGTATCCAATTATGGTAAATCCAAATGGAATGTATTAGATGGGAGGGTTCTAGCAGCAAGGCTGGGGTAGATCTTGAAAAGCCACTGACAGTCCAAAAAGACAATACCTGGTTAAGATGGACCTGTGTTCTGACTGTGTCTCAATGAGAGGAAGTATGCTACAGTGTCTGGAATGTTTAAGAAGGAATGGAGAGGCCCACGTTTAAATCCCAGCTAATCATGGGGCTCACTGGGTGAGCCTGGGCCAGTTACATTCTCTGCCTAGCCTACCTCGTAAGGTTCTTAAACAAAGTTTGAGTCCAGTAGCACCTTTAAGACCAACAGAGTTTAATTCTGGGCTCCTCCCCGCCTCTCCCCACCCCTGCCTGCTTGGGGCCAGGGAGGGCCTACGCGGGGCTTCCTTGCACTCCCGCTGGCCTTGCAGGTCCACCGCCGGGCCCCTGATGTCAGGGGGTGTGGCATATGCTAATGAGTTATGCTAATGAGTTCCCCTAGCTCTTTTTCTACGAAATGACCCCTGATTCTGGGTATAAACTTTCATGGGCATGCCCATGAAAGCTTATACCCAGAATTAAACTCCATTGGTCTTAAAAGTGCCACTGGACTCAAACTTTATTCTGTTGCTTCAGACCAACGTGGCTACCCACCTGAATCACAAGGTTCTTGTGAGGGTGAAGGGGAACCCCGTAGGCCATCCTGAGCTCTTTGGAGTAGGAGTGGGATGAAAACATGACAGGTAGATACCTTCAGATGACATAAAAATAGTGAGGACAATTGAATGGGGCAAGGTAAAATGAACAGTCGCACCTCAGTATAGAAAATTTTATTTCTCAGCATGCCCTGATTCTTTGTTTAAAGTACTTATATTCAGGAATATCTACTCATGGAGGGCCACAGTTCCTGGCATACTAAAAGCACCTGCCAACACAACTATGCCAAATAAATGAAGCCCTAATATCTCTCTTGACGGGGACGGCAAATGATGAGATGGTTAGACAGTGTCATAGATGCAACGAACATGAAACTGAGCAAACCTCAGAGGACGGCGGAAGACAGGAAGGCCTGGCGTGATCTGGTCCATGGGGTCGCGAAGAGTCGAACTCGACTGTGCGACTGAACAACAACAACAACAATATCTCTCTTTGGGGTTTATGTTCTTCCAGTATCTCCCTTCTGATATTGTCTATATAATATTTTTGTCTCTTCTTGGAAATGTTCATTGCCAAGTCAATTATAGCTCAGCCCCCATCAACTGTGGCTTTTGATGATCTGATTGGCTTGGGTTTGCAGGGGCGTTTATAGTCTGAAAGCTAGATTAACTCAGCTATAAAGGAAGCTGGGATAATTTCCTTGGTGGTATAGATTTTGATGGAAACACACAACTGCACTAATGTATAGTAAAAGGTGTCACAGCAAACACTGCTCCTGTGCGCTTCTGTAGGAGACACCTCTCCACCCAGGAGCAAGTGGAAAATATGTCTTCATACAAGCAAAGCCCTTTTGTTTTTAGTGCAGAAAAGGGGGCTGTCGTCACATACAATCTTCTGCTTAAAGTAGCATTTCTGCTTGCATTCTGTAGCACTCAAAATGTAATATATTGTTTCTGGGAAAACAGGAAATTTAATCCATATTCCTTTGACGTTAGTGCTACTGCTAGTAATTAGGTTACTTTCTGATGTCTGTCATGCCAGCCCTACTCCTGGCAGAGACAGAGAGAAGAGAGCAGGGTGAGAAAGATGATGATGTGCATTTTTCTCGCAGAATCTTCCTTCTGGCAAGAGAAAGACCTCAGTACTACTCACCAGGGAGAAATCATGGACCTGAACTCAAAGGTAATACAGGGAGGAACTCATGCTGGGGAAGACCAAAGTCATCTTTCAGAGAAATCCCTCCCAAAGGGTCTGTTCAGTCCCTCATTAGAGATGGTATTAAAGATGCCAAGCACCTCTGAGGAAGAAGCCAAACTTTAATCTAGAAATAGCAGTGGCATATAGGTAAAGAATCCCAGTTTTCTCTGTTCATGGGGGTGAAAGAAGTTTAGGGCTGTTTCGTGAGTAGAAGGGTCTTCCCCAGTATAATCCAGTATATACCTGTAGTATGTACAGAACAATGTGGTGGTTGTGGGCTGTAGTTTGTTTAATGAGTGACCATAGCCCAGTAGTATGCAATGAATTCCAGTTTTATTCTTTGGTGCTTCGGTTAAGAAAAGGATCTCTGGTGGCAGGTTCTGCGAAAGACCTCTGCCTGAGGTCTTGGAGAGCTGCTGCCTTTTGACATAAACAATACGGAGTTCAGTGCACCAAAAGACTAGCTTCATATGTTCTGTATGTACAGTAATTTACCCTATGTTTGAGCATTTCCAGTCCCTGAAGGCTGGAGCTGTATGTTGAGTGTCAGGGGAAAGATCCTGAATTACTAAATCTTGCTTAGTCAGTATTGAGTGGCTGTAGAGACCAATGAGGAATTTAGCTACACTTACTGAAAATCCTGTGAAGACATCGACATTTCTGCATCACTCTTTCTAGCTGTTAGGTAGTACTATTCTTCCCGTGCAATGGCAGCCTGTCCCATGGTTTCAGAACTAGATCCCTGAGGTGTACCACACCATGCTCTGTCCCATCATAGGCAATTTTGGGACTCCTGGTTTGCACACAGCAACCACCGATAAAACAATATGCAGCATGCTCTGTGACATCCAAGTGATTGTGTGACTCGCCTTTCAGATTACATGGTTTTGTCTGCTTCCCTCAGTCACCTCATACAGAAGGCCAGTGCAAGAAAATATTTTGCTGTAGGCAGACTGTATATAATGGAATGAGGAATATGTAGAGCATGCCATTCCAGACAGTGCAAACAGATCAATTCAGTTGGTCCCATTCACTCATATGGCTTATAGTGAAAACTTATGTTGTATTTGAATAGTTGCTCCACATGGGATAGCCAGTTGCATGGGTCCTTCTCACTATCCAGCTGGTCACAGTCTGATGCAGCAAGCCCGGCCCAAGTCAGATGCACAGCTCAGTGGTGTGGAATGTCACCATAAGGTGTTAGCAGGACCTTTGAATGGTACTCCCATGAACCTCTCCTGAAGTGGCAGTACCAAAGGAGGAGGAGAACTTTAACAGCATTTCCTCCAAATCTGATGTGTCCTTTCTGTGCCACAGGAACAGCCCACCTCCCCACAAAAGCAGGGCGTAAAAGCTCGGTCCAAATCCACAGAGGAGATCCAGCCTGCCAAGAAGGTAACTGTGCCAGCCCAACTCCACTTGAGTGAAGAGTCCAGAATGCATGGTGAGACTCATGTGTGGTCTGTTGGTTGGCTGCCTGGAAGCAGACAAGTTCCAGTAAGGGAATCCAGTAGGCCAATAGTTAAGCTGAATATGATGAAGGAAGGACTATGCCAAGGATTCAGGGAGCAAGTGATTAAATCTGATAACAAACCCAGCACTTGGTTTAATAAAGGATGTCCTTCAGTCCTTTAGACTTGCTGTCTTCATAGTGCTATAGCTCAGATATGAGCTCTGTTCCTTGGAGATTCAGTCCTGATCTTGAATCCCTTCACTCCTGAGCCTATAGGCAGTCATATCTTGCCTTGCAAGCAGGTGAGCCACCTTTGGAACACCCAATAATTTTGACTGTGATTGGCCCAGAAACCCACCAGGTTCCACCCATTTGATGAAGCAACACCCACTAATTTTGACTGTGTTGCTTCGTCAAATGGGTGGAACCTGGTGGGTTTCTGGGCCAATCATAGTATTCCTCTGGGACCTCATTCTACAAGAATTTGACCTCTGATAAGGCAGTCTCCTCAGTGGGAGCTTTCCACCCTGGAGTCCAGTAGGCTTTCTGGAAGGAAGTTCTCTCTCACAGTCTGAAGAATATATTGGGGTCTTAGTTGGGGTGGCTTATTACAATAGTCCTACTGTGTATAGTCATGCTATATGGTGGAGTGTGGGGTAGAGGCCCTGCATCCTGGGCTTAAGTTTCCAGAGAAAACTGTGCAGAGGCTCATGCTAGGGCAGATGCTTATTCTCTTACAAATTTGTTGGGACAGAGTCGCCTCTGCTTTATTACCATGTCTGGATGGTAGTGCAGACTACATTCTAGGTTGAAACAATTGGGCAATTTGGCTGAACTTGACCCTCATTACAGGCCTTCCACACTACCCAGAAGTCCTTACCAAACCAGATGGATGCAGATGAGTCCAAGGTATGTTTAGTGCCTATCTAAAGATGATAGTTTCCAAAGTGGAACAGATCCATAAATGCAGGATAATTTATTTATCACAACAAGGTATCTTTTGCTGCATTGTAGAATGTGACTGTCCAGAAAAATAAAGGCACGTTTTAGCTGTGCTCCAAGAAGGATTTTTCCAAAGACAATAATCTTATGAAGATTAGAGATGTTTCTTAAGAGGGCAGGAGGGTTGAACAAGTGTCAAATGGGGGAATGCAAGGAGACTCATAGTGGTGGGAGAAATGGCATGACAGGTTTTCCTTGTCTGTGGTGGCAAGCAGGGATTCCACAAACTGGGGTTCCAGAAGTTCCCATAAGAAGAAAAAGCATATTTACTAGTCTGAGCTTTATTGGGTTATGGAGATTCCAGGTTGTCTCTACCTTCCTCTGAATGTGTCCTTTGCTCTACAGGGTTCCTGTCCTGTACCAGCACCCAATACTGCTCAACAGCAGCAGACCTGAGGAGCAGGTCATGGTTGTGTGGAGTGGAGTTGTGACCGTTCCTTGTGCTGCTCCTTGGCCTGGCTGTCTTACGTGGGCTTCATGCCCTTGTGGATGTCACCGTGGTACTGTCTGTCCAGCTGTTACTGTCTGACTGTCTGTCCCCTCTGTGATATGAGATCTAGGTAAATAAAGTTAGTTGGAATCTGTTTTATTCTCATGGGTCACATTTATGCAGTTGCCATATGAAGAGGATGGGAAAGAGGGAGCATGAGACTGGAGGCCAAGCTTGCTAAAAGACCTTGTATTGTTGTCTCCTGGTGACTCTTGCCTCCCATCTATTATGTACAGATGGACATCATACAAAGTAATTTGTAGGATTATTTTATGAAGATTACAAGTGCAATTGACATGCACATGAACTGATCACCCAGAAAGGCCCTCAGATTCCTAATAGCTAAAGTCTCACCAAAATACCAAGGTATCTGCCTTGAGGATCTTCTTACATAGCCCTAGTTCCTGCTGAAAAAAAAACTGCTGAAGAAACTGGTATCTGTGTTAATTCCAGCCTGGTTTATCCTTCTATTGATCTATTCGCTGGAAACACCACTTTGTGGGAGTGTGGGATCCTTTATTTGGTATCTTTTTCGCTGCTAAAGCTTATGGGAAATTCTCAAGATTAGCTCTTGTTCCATTCCCTTTTAGAGCCAGTTTGAATGTACAAGGAGGCGATGGCAATATCACAGGCATATACCATCTTGGAATGCATGTGAGGCACCCCCACATCCAAGCCTCCTAGCATGTCTAAAGTTTTTCTACCCATGAAAAGCTGACTCAGGGCTGATTTCAGTCAAGAATCTCTCCACTGTAGATGGAACAATCCCATCAAAGGGCTGTACCACATGCTATGAATCAGTTCTTAACATTCTCACCCGAAGACAAAATAAGTGGAGAAACCTCCATTTAGCTTGCACGTCACATGCCTCTGGGATAAATGGCTCTTCCCGAGGAAAAAAACTAGTCATATTCAATGTTCCCTCTAGGCTATGGAGCTCTGTGAGCAAAAAGTCTACTCTGTGAGCTACTGGCATTAAGGTTGTGAGCAGGAGATTTGGCTGCTGCATAAATTAGTTTGCTCTGGAGCCATCCTTCCTGAGCTAAGACAAAAATGTGTGAGCCAGAGGCTAAAAACCTGTGAGCTAGCTCACACTAACTCAGCTTAGAGGGAACACTGGACCTATTGCCTTATTGCAAACCAGAGAGCACCAAAGAGGGATGATTCACTGTGTGTCCATAGCACAAGATGTGTTATTAATAAAGTACTATCACAGCCTCTACCTTTTTTGCATCGTTTCCCTTGACTTTGCATGATAGAACGGGTGGGAGGCAATGCCTGCAGGGAGACCGTGTCAGTAAAATGTCACAGCACTAGGCGAGGACTTTGGTCCAAGTCAGTCAATGAGTGATAGGCCAGGGCAAAGTAGATTAATGATTGTAACGGGCTCTGGAAAGAAGACTGCTTGCTCCCTGAGGTGGACACAATGCTAGCATGTCTGAACAGGTACATGCAGATGTTAAATGCAGCTCTCTGGGCCACTTTCCACTATTATGCAAAGTGATCCACATGCCAGAGATCTGGAAGCACTATAGAAACAACAGTCGCTATTATTGCACTGATTTCAGCAATACTTGAAATTTCTGTGGCCTTGGGGAATTTCTCATGAGTGTTGCAGAGTATGTGACTTTGATGTGCACTTAACAGTGCTTTTACGTTTGCCTTTTGAAATGCACAACATGAAGCAGAGGACGTCCTCAAACCCAAAATTCCTAATTTGTACTTGCCTGAAAATCCAGAATTTCCCTTGGGGATGCATTCCTCTGTAGGGCACACTCAGAGCAGCAGCATGAATGTCGACCATACCAGTCTGTCTGTCTACAAAGGGTTTTAAGCTTTCCTATTAAATTATTCTTTATCCCACTATTCACCAGCCTTAACCACAGCCCTCTCTTCAATGTTGTGTTTTTCTGTTTATGATTTTGCCACCTGTTTGCAGTCAATTCCAGATATGGCTTCCAAAGGTTCTTTTGTCGCTCTTTTGAGATGCTGCTCATGCCCCCAGAGAATAAAATCTGGCTATGCACAATTTTATTGCAATCTTTCAAAAAGAAGTGTCTTGAAAATGTAAAGAAGCAGCCAGTTACCATGGGAAGAAGAAGTGCAAATGATGGAAAATATGCACAATGTGTGAAATTCATTATACAAGGAATCAGAGAATGATACACAGTAAAGCAAAACTTATAAGCATTTTGGACATCATGTCTCAGCATGCTTTCGTTATCTCTGCAATTCAAGTGGCATTTAAATTACTGAATTAGATTTTTAGGCAGATATTTAGTTAATAGGCCCAAGTGGTTTACAATGAAATAATAACAAAGTTATCAATGAAACATTTCTTTAAAAGGGATGGTTATTGTATGTCCATGTGCACAACTAGGGTGTGCTTTGAAAAGCTATCTTTTTCTTCTTCCATGATTGCCTCAACATGAAGTGACTCATTAGCATAATTTCACTCAATCTTCCATGTTTACATGTTTATGCAGGTGGATCTTTTGGTATGTATGTAGGTTTGAAATATACGCAGAACAGATTATTCTGTATACTGGGAAAGAAAAGAAACAGAGGAAAGGAAATTGTACTCCATCTCAGTCTCCCTTCTCACAGCAAGGAAAAGAAGCTAGGAATGCTGATTTCCTTCTACCTACTTATGAATGATGCATATGCTGTTAAAAGCGCTTTACATTATTGCAGTAATCTTTACAACAGTGCTGTACTTCTGCTACATTGCTAATGAGGTGGGTGAGGCTGAGATACCAATTTCTTTTTAAAATCTCTCTCTCTCTCTCTCTCTCTCTCTCTCTCTCTGTGTGTGTGTGTGTGCCCCTGCTTTGCTGCTGCCCTAAACAGCCTATTGGGTAATCCAGCACTGGGTAAACCAACATTATTGATGGCTGAACATGACTCTCCTCACACAATAAGAAGAAAACCTCTCTAGGCTCCAGTTACATAGCATCACTAATATAAGCCTGCACACAGACAAGATCAAACAGTGCTGTCCTTCAGTGGGCATCTAGGAGAGGGCCTTTTCAGAGGGGGTCCCCAGGCTTTGGAACTGTCTGCCCCAGGACTGGCCAACTCCCTTGTTGCTGGCCTTCAAAAGATTAGTTATCTTCTTGATGGCCTATCAACCCCATTCTATGGTTTTCTTGCCTGTTCTACTTATTTCTCCTTTATTTCAGTTATACTCTTATTTTACTTCTCTATGATTTCATTGTACTTTTTGTATTAACAGTGTGTTTTGGATGTGATCTTTTTTGTAGCTGCTTTCCTTGGGGTCTTATGCTGGCTTTTTTGTTTGTTGTTTGTTGTTTTTCTGTCATTTTTGAGATGGTATAATTTCATATACTTTAATGGCTATGGTCATTTTGTAATTTTGTCTGTTTATACTGTTGTTTTAATATTTTTAATTTGTATGTCACTCTGAGTACTTTGTAGAGGGGCTCTATGTTATTAAAGGAAATAAATTAAAAGTATTGTTTCCCTACCACCTAATTATCATTATCCCCTACCTCATTATCATTAACAGAGAATAGATTTCCAGCCTCTACTTCATATCATCCAGGAGGCACTGTTGTGTTCTAGTACATCATGGCCACCATGGCTGCCTTGGGGCTATCCCAGGTTGTGATGGATCTAACCATGAAAAAGCCACACTCTAGATCTAATTTTCTGTACTGAGCAGATTTGTGGTGATCCGATTAAAGGCCTGGAAATTCAGCTTGTGCCACAGTCAGATCATTATCTGTTGAATGCTCAGTTGATGATAGCAGCTCACCCCTGCAAGGGTGGTGGACTGATTAGGTTAGCCACACCCCGAGGCTAATGGATCCAATGAAATTCCAAAAAGTGATGGAGGATTTGAGGAAAATCTGGTGGCAGCTTGGAATGACAGGCTCCACTGGATGATAAACAGGTCAGCCCCAAGTGTCTTCTACCCCCCTCAAATAGAATTTCAGCCTTCTGGATTATTGGGGAGTTGCGTGTGTTAAAAAGGACTGGTAGACATCTAGAGCAGCAATTGTGTTGGAAAACTTGGGCCAAATCTCACAGAACATACTATAAAATCCACTGGAAAGCCTATGAGGTGGTGGTGATGGCAGCAAAGAAATTTTACTTTTCTGCTCCCATTGTGTTGGCTGAATCACATTCAGCACAATTACTTAGATTAATTAAGCAGTTGACAACTCCCAGGAGTGAATCTCTAAACATTAATGATTTGGCATTTGGCAGTGATGTTTTTGTATGATTCTTTGTGGACAAAATCTCTCAGATCCATTCTGATCCACCTGGTACATAAATGGTAGAGGTATCTGTGGCACCATGTAGCTACTATTGCTTGGATCATTCTAGCTAGTTTTCCTGACCTGTTGTTGACAAGATTCTGGGTACTTCTTGGTTTGTAAAATCCTACAGGGAGGGCATTAAGTCTTTTGACTGGGAGGATTGTGAATGACTCCGTGATGGTTTTTCCGAAGCCCCTGAAAGAAACAATTATCAGATCTTTACTCAAGAATGCATATTTGAATAATCAGGTTTTGGCCACCTATAAACCTGTTCTGAACTTTCCCTTTTGAGGAAAACGGCAGAGCAATTCTAGAAATACTTGCAAGGGACATCTGCCCTAGATCCTTTGTCATCAGGACTGAGATGGGACAGAGACACCTATAGAAGTGCTTGCGGATGATCTCTTCAGATGGACAAAGGGAATGCATCTCTACTGTTGTTAGATCTGTCAACAGCCATCGATATGGGGGACCATGTGATATAACTGAAGCACCTGGAAAGTGCCCTGACCTGGATAGCCCAAGGTAGCCCAATCTCATCAGATCTTAGAAATTAAACAGGATTGGCCTTGGCTAGTATTTGGAAGAGTGACCTCCGAGGAATATCACGGTCGTGACACAGAGGCAGGCAATGGCAGACCACCTCTGGAATGTCTCTTGCCTTAAAAACAGGTCT